GAAAGAATGAATGGCAATTGATATTTATTGCTGTTAGGGGTGAAAGTTCTACAACAAGTAGTTACATTTCCTTCTCAGGAGTTTAACTCAAGTAAGAGTCAGACTTGACATTAGTATGTTCTTAATCTGTATTTACCTCAGGCAGAATACAAGCTCTGTTCAACCACCACCAGAAAATCTTAATAGAAAATCTCGTATCCTGTCCACTACAAGAGAGGCCTATTCTCCTTTGTATATTATACCAGTTCTACCAGGTGACTTTTTTTTTTTTTTCCTACTGAAGTCCCCTCTAGTGGTACAGTTGGGTGTTGGCTGCCTTAACTCCATCCTTTTCTCTCAGCAACTCAATGTCACCAATGTAAATGATGACAAAACCAGAGGTGACACCTGGTGCCCTCTGTGCTGAAGCAACAACAGAAGGTTATTGTAGGGATTTTTGTTGTTACTTTTTTGTAGAATGCTTGGCTTTTATAGTGTTAGCCTTCATAGCCTTCATAGCTAGCCTAAAGAGTATGTTAGTCTGCATGGTATTTTTCTAAAATATTTTTTTAAAAAAGATTACTTGCTAATAATTAAAAATTATGAGATTTCAAATAAACAACTGTATTTCTTCCTTCTCCTCAAAAATAAAAGATATGGTGCAAATGGTTAATATTTCTTATGACAAAAATATGTGGAGCTGAGAGGTGTTCTACCATAAGTGGGACATTCATTGTTCCCACTCCATCATAAATCCTGCGACTCCCAAGCTAGTTGAGATATTGCAGGCCTAGACTCAGATTCTACTTAACATTTATGTTGGAGCTATTTGGTTTTATCACCCCTGACATACTTTACTCTTTCATAACCTGCCTAACTCTATTAAATTTGGAAGTTCTAAGTCTATTCATAAATAAATGACTAGGTAAAAATATGAATTAGTATCTATAGCAGTGCAAAAAGTGACTACAAAACTTAGCACCATAAAACATTCATTGTCTCACATGGTTTCTGTGGGTCTAGAATCTGGGAGCAGCCACGTGGGAGGTTCTGGTTTGGAGTCTCCCTTGAGGTTACTTTACAGCTGTTGGCTTGTGCTAAAATCTTGACTGAGGCTAGAGGTTCAGCTTTCAAGATGACTAGTTTACATGGCTGCTGGCTGGAGATCTGCCTTTCTTCCAACATGTACTTCTCTATTGGACCGTTTGAGTGTCCTCATAACACGTCAGCTGGCTTTGCCCAAGGACAGTGATCCAAGAGAGGGCAAAGAAGCTCATGTTTTTTATGACTTTGTCCCCAAAGCAACATACCATCACTTCTGCCTTATACTCTCCACTAAAAATGAGACACTACCCACGCTTAAAGGAACAAAAGCTAAGCTCTACTTATTAAAAGGAGAAATAGTAAAGTGTTTATGAAACATATCTTGGTTTAGAGGTCTTGACTGACTCATCAAATAATTGCTTTATTTTGATCTGGGTACTATTCTAAGTAAAACTAAGAGCCTCAAGTGGTTCCAATTTATAATCCTTGAGGTTTAAAAACTTGCGCAAAGTATTCAAAGAGATTTTTTTTAATTCAGCTTTAGGATAAACTACTCGTAAATTTTAGTGAAAGACAAACTTTCAGTTACTTATCATTCAGCACCTATGTAGCCTCTTTGGGGAACCGTCATACACTTGTATATACTAATCACTTCATAGCACAATGACTTGTTTTCTGGATGTGTAATTTCAGGATCACTGTAGACAAATTTCTTTTTAAACATGTGTAACTGCAGTCTTCAGTAATCCCCTGGATATTGGTGAGGTTCCCGTGTTTTACTTTTTCATTGCCTTTATTATATGACTGTAGTATTCAGCCTGAGCAGCAAGCAGGTCATCACATTTTTCTTTTTTTCTTCTCAGAGAGAAAGGGTGGAGGTTTTAAAAGAAGGAGAAGCCTGAGGAGAAGAGAAAGTTTAAAACCAAGCCAGAAAATGTTATAGAGATTCCTCCCCTGATTCTCTTTGGTTATGGACTTTAAATTTTAAATTCTCAGACTGCTAAGTGTATTTCGATATATCCAGTTAACATATTGCCAGTAGAGGCATTAGGCAGTTTTTTGTTTGTTTTGAAGCTGAGTCTCACATTGTCACACAGGCTGGAGTGCAATGGTGCGATCTCGGCTCACTGCAACCTCCACCTCCCAGGTTCAAGCGATTCTCCTGCCTCAGTCTCCCGAGTAGCTGGGATTACAGGCACCCGCCACCACACCTAGTTAATTTTTTTTGTATTTTGAGTAGAGATGGGGTTTCACTATGTTGACCAGGCTGGTCTCGAACTCCTGACCTCATGATCTGCCTGCCCCAGGCTCCCAAAGTGCTGGGATTACAGGCATGAGCCACTGTGCCTGGCCAAGAGGTTTTGTTTGTTTGTTTGTTTGTTTGTTTGTTTTAAATATTTATTCTTTATGTTTCAGGGCTACTCAAATTATGGTGGCAAAAAGGGGTATACTTACACAGCAACTTACTTGTTAAGAGAATTTTAATTTCTGAATGTGGGGTTTCTCTGCAAAGCTGATGTCATATCAGATTCACAGGGTTGACACAATATGGGCATTATGATCTTACTCAAACTTTCTCCTTCTTTCATTTATCAGTTGACAAACCTAACAGACGTTATTTTTAGCTAAGATAGATACCTGTTCCATTTTTTGATACTATATTTACAGCATTGAGCTCTGTAAGTTTAGTCTTCATTTCCTACTCAGAACATGGTCAGCAGAAATATTAGCAGAAATAAACCTTTAGAAAGCCTTAAATATTCCTACGAGGCAACAATTTTATTATACTTTTTTCCCTTAAAAGTCACTGACTTTCCTTGAAATGTTATGCAAGATTTTTAACACCTTTCCTCTAATTTATTGAGTGCATTGCTTATGCTATTTGCTAGTTTGGGTTTCATAAAATACACTGGAAATAAGTTTTTGAAAACATAACGTGGGTGATGATTTAGAGACTGTTGCAGATTACTCAATTACTTTCGGAATTTAAACTCTGCTTATTTTTATTTAAAATATGTACAAAGACTTATAAGATAAAATATTAGTGTTCATTTTCCAATACTGAGTAATATATTGCTTTTTAAAAAAGTCATCTTATAGACACTATAAAACAATTGTCAATAAATTCCTACTGTAAAATAACCTATTTATCAAGTACAACCCTTTTGTTTTATATATAACTTCTGGATATATACAAAGAAAAGAATGTCAATATAATGCTATATAAATAGCACAGAAATTGCCCAAAGACTCAAAAGAAAATTGGAGACTTAAATACAAGATAGTTTCTCTTTTACACATTTAAATTCCTCATCTGAAGAAAAACTATTTAAAAAAAAACTGATTCTAAGAAATAATTTAGAAACAAAAAAAAGTAAGAGGTATAGCAGAAGGACAGTAGTTTAAGAATAAGCTTAAGCAAATGAAAACCACTAAACATCTGATGAAGTATTCTATCACATATCTGGAAATTCCCAACTAGGGAAACACAGAGAGTGCTTTAAGGACCAAATTCACAGGCATCAGATAACAACTTTGACATTTCCATAGAATTCTACTTTTCAAAAAGTACATTCATTTAGAACTTCAGGTGATTCTCACAACTTTGTGATATAGGCAGATAGTTTCATGTCTATTTTCCCTATAATAAAAATTGAAATAGAGATCATCTTAATACTTAAGTTTTTTTTAAAACAATCTCCTTTTTTCCTTCCTTCACGAGAGAGGAAGACTCATTCTTAAATAATAATTTGCAATATTTAAACCTTATTCACCTTCACCTAGATATTTTTAATTTAATTGAAAATCAAAGATAAAAACATATTTTTGTCTAGAAAATGGATTCCCAATTCTGTCTCAATTAACCACTATTTATTAACATATACTCATGAACATTAGCAAAAAATATATATAATAAAACAAAAGCAACAAAAATACCCTCACAAACCTGAGAAACTAAATGTTCTCAAATGGCTAAAAGATTTAGAATATAGAATTAAAAGGCATAATTTTTTACCCATATAAATAAATATAAAAATATATTCAAATGAGATTTTCATAAATTATATAAGTTTTTTAAAGTTATTCTGACTATAACACAATATTCAAAATTATACATATTAAATAATTTTCTGATTATCATCCTGTAACCAAATGCAATTACTGAAATTCTATGTAGATTATCCAGTTCTCACACCCTTCACCTACTGCGAACATCAGCTTAGAGTTAGCCATTCACTAAATCAAAACTCAGCCATCCTCACCAAAGAGTTCTTCTTTATGCTATCCACTCAACATCTTCTGAAAAATTCAAACTGTCTTCTTAAACTGAAACTTACATTTCAAAAATGAGCTTCTAATATCAATATAGTAGAGGTTAATTATTTGCTCCATGGCAGCCACACCTCCCTTTTAGTTTCCTAATCATTTTACTTACCTGGCACCTTTTTTTCCCCTAGAAGATCGAATTCAAAGAAATGGAAATAAGACTCAAATAAGTAAAATTTTTACTCACTCTGAAACACTGAAAAGAATTATTCAATGGGAAATTATTTCAATCATTGGTCAAATGGACCCTGTTGTCTTGTCTTTTGAATTCTATCCATGGATCAAGCTGTTCTTTATTAAATGGAGATAAGCCAGGTTTGACTTTATCGTGACAAATGCACAAGGCCCTTACACTTTAGAGGACTATAGTAGAACACAGAAAATAATAATTATAAAATAATATAAGTCATAGTACACCAAGAATCAGTAACAGTAAAGTTAGTATTGCTAACGCTAAGTTTCTGATCTGGATAATCTTATAAGTCTGTTTGCTAAAGAGGAAAAGAAGGAAGAGAAGAAAACCTCGCAGAAGTGTGCAATTTGAATGTAGTTCTGGTGTTAGCAGTAACTTTCCTAAGATTTTAACAAGTCATAATAAATCAGCCCTCATTCAATACAAAGCAACCAAGCTATAGAATCATTTCACTTACCCATGATGGTTAGGGCTGTAGCTTTTGTTAATTCTTCTTTCATTGACTCGATTACTTCTAAATTACCACCATCCAGGTTGCATCTATTGATGGTTCCATTCCCCGAACTGATCCAATAAAGCTTGTTTTCCACATAGTCTATCGATAGACCTGTAATTAAATTTTACAACTTAAACATAATGATAGCCACTTAAATTGTAATATTCACCTAGCACCACTGGATTTGAGGGCAAAGAATAAGTTGAAAGCTCAGATTTTTGTCTTTACAAATAAGATCTGGCTAATAGGAAACTACACATATGTTGTTTTCGGTTTTTTTGTTGTTGTTGTTGTTTATTTCTTAGAGACAGGGTCTCACCCCGTCATTTAGACTGGAGTGTAGTGATGCAATCATAACTCACTGCAGCCTCAGACTCCTTGGATCAAGCAATCCTCCCGTCTCAGCCTCCTGCATAGATAGGACTACAAATGCGCACCACTAGGCCCAGCTAATTTTTTTCTTTTTTTTTTTTTTTAAATAATGGGGGCTCACTATTTTGCTCAGGCTGGTCTTGAACAACTGGGCTCAAGGAATCCTGTCACCTTGGTCTCCCAAAGTGCTGGGATTACAGGCATGAGCCATGGCACCCAGCCAACATAAACAGTTTTAACTGACAGAGAAACATTATACTTTTATAGGCACTTAACAGTTATCTCTATGGATTACTGACCTAATCTTGTTCCTCTGAAAGAAATTACAGTTCAATTTTACAGATACAAAAAATAGTACCTAGAGTAGATAAGAAATCTGTGTTCATAGCTAGTTAGTGGACATTCCAGATATTTTTAGAAAGTTTCTGTTTCCAAATTGAGTGCCTGCCCTCTTCATTATGCCACTTTGCCTCAGAAAGTTTTAATGTGTAATGACTCATTCGGGATACTAATTTAACTGATGAAATTTATAATTACTCATCTATTTTCCATAAAATTTACTTAGGCAGTTACAGATTTAAATTGGTGATTTCATCCCTCTTCAAGTAAATCCAAAAATGGAAGATTTTCAGCAAATAGTAATTTTACCAAAGCACAGAATTAAAATGCGCTCATTTGGAGGCTGATATGGGGGAGATAAATCTTTCGGCAAGTGAGTGAATCAAGTCAATGGCTTAAGACGCTAATCTCGACATGGCACAGTGTGTCACTGGAGGTAAGGCTGGACTTTATTGTATTTTATGGGCAACTTCACATATTATAGTGGTGGCCATCATTTTCAGAGGTCTCAGGGTAGGTACTTTTTGTTTGCTAAAGGTCCTTGGCACACATCTACTTAACTACTGTCATGCTCAGCAGCATCAGTATCCACATTTTAACAATAACTCTGTGGAACCATGTTGGCCTTCTGTGATCCATAATTACTCATGGAACAGTGCATGTGGGCATATACTCAGGCAGACAATGCAACCAACTGTTCCTGGGATCTCTCTCAGAGAATAAAGTGGACAAATCACAGATCATTCCTTCCCTTAAAAAACAATGAAAGGAAAGAAGGGCAGATGATTGAAAAGACACACAGATTCAAGTGCATTGAGAGAAGGTGAAATATAGCCTAATAATTCTCAATTACAGGGATTCCCAGGACAAAGAATGTGAATAATTATAGGCATTTAACAGTTATCTCTATGGATTAGATCCTCTTCCCCCACCCCGCCCCCCAAGAGTTGGGGTCTCACTCTGTTGCCCAGGCTAGAATGCAGTGGAACAATCATAGCTCACTGCAGTTTTGAAATCCTGGGCTCAAGTGATCCTACCACATCAACCTCCTGAGCCGCTGGAATTACAGGTGTGAGTCACCTTGCCTAGTTCTTTTACTTTTTCTTTTAATACGTGTATGATTCTATTTTTGGAAAGACCAAGGTAAAGCTAGTTTATGCTCAGAGTCAGGATGTGTGGAATGTGAGGTAACGATTGGCCACAGGGCTACTGTGTTTCTAATTAAATTCTGTTTCTTGATCTGGGCGCTGGTTATATAGGCAAATTCATTTAATCAACATTCATCAAGCCATATATTTAGGATGGTTTACTTTTCCATATGTATGTGATTCTACCATATACAGTTTATATTTAAAATGTGGGAGGAAGTTAGGGAGTATAGGAAGTGTGAACAAAATAAATAAAACCTCCTAAATCAATTCAATACACAATGCCAAGGAATTTAAAGAAGTGGGGGTTTCACAGAAGAAAGAATTTTGTCTCTCTCTCTTTTTTTTTTTTTGGATCTGAGTTCACCCAGAGTCTATTATTCAATGTCTTTGCTTCTGGACTGTGACTAGAGGAAGCAGACTTTGTCATAGTCAGCTTATTATATTTGCTGTGTAGCATGATGACTAGAATAGAGAAGAAAAATAATAAACATCAAATAAATGGATAGACTATTTAGTTAATTCCATTATGAAACTATAGCTTGTTTTCAAAGAGTTCTGCCTAGGAAAGTTTAGTTATCTTCCCAACTGAATTTTTAAATGTACTACTTATACCCAGATACTATAACAAGTACAGAGGAAGAGCAATGATTCAACAGCTCTACTTAGTATGGCTTAAATATTTAAACTAATTTTAACATTGAATAGCATCAAATTAATAGTTTTAAGGTTCACAAAAACGATATTTAAAGTTTCTCTATTAATCTCTCTCTATATATATGCACGGATGCATATCACATAACTCCTTCCATGTATCTTCTTTCCTGTTAAATATATTAGCTTAACCCTTAAATGTTCTTGGGTGCATGTATTCTCAGGTTCATAAAACAGAATTGCAATGCTTTACATTATTAATATTAATTTCAAAAACTGGTGACATATGCTTTATATTCACAGTATAGATATATATAGAAGTATAATACATATCTCTGAAGTTTATTAATGCAAATGTTTTTGCATCATAAGATTTTTCATTTTGTTATTATCATTCACTTAAGTCCTAACAACACTAAATGATTAATTGGTATAAATGGTGTTGGAGTAATTTCTGAATCAGTTCTCTGTTCTGCTAATATTTTAAAAAATGAATCACTAGGCAGTGAACAAAATTGTTTAATGCAATTAAAACTACTCAGTGATGTTAGAATGCCAAATCAATATCCATGAGAAAACAGGTCAAACGTGAGCATATTTATAAAACTGTCCTGGAACCTATGCAAAGAAATATAATTATGTCTGTACTAAAGGATCCTCAGAATGGGTGACTGAAATTTGAAAATCTTCAAAAGGGCCATAGAATCTGTCTAAAGAACATATCAGTTGTAACACAGTCTTGTTTTTATAAGACATATTTAACTAATTTTTGAAGCATCTGAATCTGGCTATCAAATGAGAAAATCTAGATAGAATAACATAATAAGTATATATTTAAAAAGTCACCATTTAAATCGAGAAAAAACTTTAGGAAGTGAAAAAATTATCTTTTTTGCCTATCTTTTCTATTTTTATGAAAATACAGTTAACCCTTATGCTTTAATTCTAACATTCCTTATTATCAGTCCCAAATTTTCCTTTATATATTATTTTATTTGAACATTTTAATTTAAATAGACCAGCTTAATTTTTATGGAGACAATGAAAATTGCAAAAATTATGTAATTTCTCTCATAATAGAAATATTCTACATATTAATATAAGAAACAACTAAATATTTTTAAATAATGTAATTTACCTACATACAGCATTTCATATATTATTGAAAAAATTACGTTTATTAAGTTTTAAGTGTTGTTGCAATTAAGACTAGGCAGTTCATTTTGTGTGTCTCATTTATTTTCTAAGCGGCTCAAAATTAAATAAACATGCAATATGGAGTTAAAATAAAAATGGAAGGGTATAAAAAAGGAATTTTAAAAATTAAGAATTAAGGCTTTCAATAGATAATTTTTAATACATTTCCATCACTTAGCAAATTTAACTTCAAAATTCTTATCCCTAGCTGGGAATTATACTTATCTGGAAAGTCATTTTAAAATATTGATCCTACAGCCCCAGTCCACAAAATTTCAGTTTAATTGGTTTGGGCTGGTCCTGGGCCTCAGTATTTTTAAAATATTTCTCCAGGTAATTTTGTGACACACAATTTTTAAAAACATATTCTAAACACTGCATATTTTTATAAGCTTTCAAATGTAATATTTTAGTAAATTCAACTGGGCCATTTAAATTTTTCTGGAAAGAGTATTACAATGGTGAATCCTTTGGAGACAGGGAAATGGTAGAGATGTAGATATGGGAAATAGACACACCATGAATATTAAAATGTAGAGGATTAACTTCTAGGCCTCTACACAGCTATAAAAATATAATCAAAATCTTCTAAATATTCTTTTTCTGGCACTAACTTCAGACAGTAGAAAACAACTCCTACTTCTGGGACTGTGAAAGTTTTAGAAACTGGTCATTGAAAACACAAAATATAGAGAAACACCAATAAATTACATCACATGCTATACCTGTAGAAGAATCATAATATTTGAAATATCCGAAAATGAACATTTTTTCAGACTTCATCAGAAATGGCATGACAATTCCGATTCCTGGGGCAGAACTGTTTTGGAAACATTAAAACTTTAGCTCTGATGGAGGCTAGTTATTACATGGGGAAGTATTCACTATTAGGCTATCTCAAGAAATGCTTTATCCATCCTGAGAATATTTGGATTTTGCTGGGTAAAGAATGGGTGTGCTGGCTGGGCTCTGTGGCTCATGCCTGTAATCCCAGCACTTTGAGAGGCCAAGACGGGTATATTACTTTCAGTTGAGAGTTCGAGAACAGCCTGGCCAAAATGGCAAAACTCCAACTCTACTAAAAACACAAAAAAATTATCCAGGTGTGGTGGCACACGCCTGTAGTTCTAGCTACTCGGGAGGCTGAGGTAGGAGAATTGCTTGAACCCAGGAGGTGGAGGTTGCAGTGAGCTGAAATCATGCCACTGCACTCCAGCCTGGGCAACAGAGTGAGACTTTGTCTCAAAAAAAAAGAAATAAAAAAAGAATGTGCTGAGGAAACCCAAGCACTTTGTCTGTTCCATCCCTGGCTTCTCTGTGAAGTGAAGACAAATCAAGGTGCTAGGCTTCAGTTACCTTGTCTAAGTATTTCTGGCAGCCTTGCCCTGGCTACTGCACCAT